CGTGCGAAAACCATGCGAGAATAAATTTCGGGGTCACAATTTTATCCAGAAAAATCGAGCTGCTCGCTGCAAGTTGTGATCCCAGCCGCACAGTTTTCGCCTTCTGCGGACGTCTAAGAAACAACATTTGTGTATACAAATTCCAGTATTTAAGCACACAACGTTTACCGTACATTGAATGAAAACGACAGGAAATACGTATGCGTACTCCGTCTTGTCCGATGTAAACAACCGTAGGTTTTTTTTTCGTTTTTCCTCGGGTGGTTTGTTTCCTCTCAACTTTTTAAACCCTTACCTCACCTAAAGCTACAAAATACTACTAGTATGATATACTTCAGGGTATAAGCGTGCCCATCACAACATGCATAGTAGTACTTAGTTCTTTATTTAAAAAAAAAATAGTACATTCAAGTAGCCAAGTAACTGTTCGAAACATCGAGTTACAACAACTGGTTCTTCTCAGAACCACACAACTCACAGAGAGAAATCATTCACATGGTGTTACCGCAAACCTCGCATTCATTTAAGTGATGTTGTTAAAATAAATTAAAAAAAAAACAATACGAGCGTGAGTTTGGCATATTAATACTCAGCTGAGTTTGTGTAGACAAAAGCAGAACTATTATGGTAATCTCTTGAACCATACGACTGTTTCACGTTAAAATTGATGGCTGATTTGTGTACAGTGCTATCCCATTATTGACCAAGTCACAACAGCCAGTATTCAAGTTTAAAGATTTCTAGCCAATTTGGGCAAATTTAGACTTCTGCCAATATCAGATACGATCAATTAATGGGATTTTTTTTTTATATGGAAACCACAAAGCTAGTTGTTAATGTTGTTCATATGCAAAATAGAATCAATTAATCTATTCAATTAGAAAATTAGATGGGAAAAAGACTTACTGCAATTATATCAACCAAATCTAGGTATATTTATGTAAAAGAAAAAACCTGGCTGTACTTAAAACATTCGAAATAGGTCTGGGTAGTGCATTCTTCATAGACCTGCAGATGACGTCACCGGAAAATAAGGTGTTTACATTTAACACAAAACCACGAGCAAAGCCACAGAAACCAGCAAATTGGCGACGAGAGAGGCCTTTCCAGCAACGATCGTTTGGGGCGCTGCGCTGGGCTCCGTCAGTGGGAATTCGACAGGTCCCCCGTTGCACAGGTGGCAAGAGCAGCAGGCTACACAATATGAATAGCCTTCGTAACAACTCGGCGTACATTGATCCTCCTCGTCAGTGTTGGAAAAACACCCCCTACTGACGATCTTTTGCCCCGTGCTGTTGAACGTTATAACCTTCGAGGGGTGTAAAATAATACATGTAATGGCAAAGAGACTATTATTCATTCCGATTTTCCACATTTTCATACCGTTTTTCATCGAGTACTTTGAAATAATATTCTGAACAGCGAGTCATTCTATTCAATGGACGAAAGCTTTGTGTAAAACAGTATTGTTATCAAGGCGCTGTTTAGTATATTAAAGAGACTTGTTTTCCAGTCATCATCCTTCGTTCCAATTTGAAGCATTTCAAAAGAAATACTGCGCCCATGCACGAGTGAATTAAAAGTGTGTGGATCTATGCATGGAATCAGGCTGACCGTAAGGTCAGAGCTAAGTGCCCATCAAAAATCTGTCAGATTTATCAAAAATCTGCCAAATTCCCCAGAATTACTCGAAATACACTATAAACACTTAAAAACACATGCGGAGTGGTACTTCTTCTGCCTTAATTAAGATTCAAATTACATTATAAACAATCTATAGTCTCATAAAGATGTTACGAAATTATCGCGAAGTCCGTTTCCCAGTGAACCTCAGCACTTAGACCAGCCAACCTGTCTCTTTATGCAAGGGTTTGTTTGAAAGGATTGAAGCTTTCAAACAAATGGAATCGAAAAAAGTAACATTTATGCGGTTCTCGTCACTAGGACTCTCGTCACGATGGAAAAATAAGACAAGTGTGTTTGCTGCCACCAACGTCTCAAAGTCTGTCATTGAACGCTGTTGTGATTATTTCGGCTGGTATTCAGGGAAACTAAGGTCAAAGGTGATGGACTTTGAAATGTAAACACACGATCGTCTCAGTGCTGGCCCGCCGGTAATGATGGAAAACACCACTTCAATTAAAACCAGTCAAATAATGTCTCGAATCGCAAGGTATGCTGCGAATTATAGCAAATTATGTATGCCCAAAATAACTGACACCGTGAACTCATGGGGAACTTATTTGCACTCACTTCGTGTTCAAGTTACCGCCATCTTCAATATGGACATGGAGAGGTCACAGGCAAGTCAAAACACTTTGGCAGCCGCCATGCAGGGACTCGCTCGCGAGCTGGGGTAGTGGTGGTCGACACCGGGGCACTGACACAAGTTTCACCTTATGGCTAATTAAACGCTCTCGTGTATGTTAAACTTAAATCGAATGCACCCAATTTAAAAAACATCTCACCCATTCTCTAGACACAACACCTGGATGCTTTTACTCACTGCCCTGGTTCAGTGGCGTAAGGATGACACTTCTGGGGGAGCACCTGAAGGGGCACTAAAGGCAACTGATTCTTATTTTCGTTCAATTCAAGATTTCAAATGGGGGGGGGGGGGGACGGAAGTGGGGTGCGGGGCATGGACATCTGCTGTTGAGTACCGTAGTTAATTACGTCACTGCCCCATTCTTCTGTCTCAAAATGTTATTCATTAATACCTAAGACAATGTCCATTCCAATTAGTCGAGAGACTGCCACGTGTGTCACATGAAATGTTTGACTCCTATGAAATCTGGTCCTTTTTATTGATTGAACGTTAACTATCTTCACTTTGGTATGCGCAATACTACCACGAGTCCGTATTCCATAGAGTCCTAAATTCACACTACACCGGCACCGCCGCGTTCTGCGCTGCATCCCGCAGTACGCGCCACGCGCGTGCCAATCTCCATAGAAGGAGATTTTAAGTACTACTCGCGAGAGGCACATACCGTTACATAGCCAGAGGGGAATAGAGCAAAATAATTGTTGAAAACAATTGTTGGAGATTTAAAACGTTTGGCTTGTTTTAATTTTTGACCAAAAGGTATTTATGAAGGCATTGAATAAATACGTGCTTATAAAACACGTATGTTTAAAACCAGCTTGGGGCCTGGTCGCCGACAATGTCCCTCGCCTTCGGCTCGGCCTATCAGCGTCAAGGCCCCCAGCTGGTTTAAGCGTACACAATGTACTTGTTTTAAACTGCCCAAGCACGTAAACAATTTGTCAAAAAAGTGGTCATAAATTGCCTCAGATCGCACCACAGAGCATGTAGAATCCAAAAAAGATTTTGCAACCACTTTTTGGGGACCACATTTTTTTGGGTCCCCCCCCCCCCAAATGTATTCTGGATCCGCCCTTGCCAAGTACCCTGTGAAATTATGCCGCCTGATATGGTTTCATTTGGTAGTAAACAATCATAGTTGGGTTTTTTTCAGATCGTTAGCAACGCAATCCAGCTAGGCCTACAACACCCCAAAAATGGGCCATATACGTTTTCTCTGTTTTCTCACAATGTACGAGTGTCCACTGAGCTGAATTAAGCTTCAACAAGTCAGTTGTTATGCACTCTACGGCAATTTTCGGCAATTTTGTTTCTTCAAACCAAAAAAATGAACAAAAAGTAAATGTTCCCATATATCTAGGGGATTATAATTAGAAAAATAAACGAGTTTAATATAAAACTCAGCTGAATCTATGTACAAAAGCTGAACTACCTGTATCATGCTAATCTCTTTAATCATACGACTGTTTCATATACATTTTGATGGTTGATACTGCTTTCCCAAATCTACCAAGCTACAACAATCACTTTCTAATGATTAAACGTTTCTGGCAAATTCTGGTAAATTGAGACTTCTGCCAATATCAGATACGATACGATGAAAAAACAAATCAAGTTTGATAATTCGCTCTTTTCACACTCCGCCATTGGGCATGCAGAGCCTCGATCTGGCAACTTTACACAATAAAAATAGCCGGTTCAGTGATCTGAACCCCGACACGGGAATCACTGAACTGGCTATATTTATTGTATAAAGTTGCCAGATCGAGGCTCTGCATGCCCAATGGCGGAAGTGTGAAAAGAGCGAATGCTGGTCACATGCAAACTGGAATATACTGCTTCACCATTTTGTTTCATTTGTTGGGGTGTTTGTTTCTTTCTTTCTTTCTTTCTTTCTTTCTTTCTTTCTTTCTTTCTTTCTTCCTTTCTTTGTTTGTTTTGTTGCCACTAACCGTCTATGTATTTTCCTACTTCATGCATATAATTTTAAAATAAGCCAAAATTTAATAAGCTTTTAATTGTTGTTATAATAGTACTATAAACATGCAATACTACAATGCAATACAAAATGTTACTTTATATTAGGCATACATTCATTTAAAGAGGTTGTGGAATGCTCGAAAACATTTCCGTCATTTTTTGGGTATATGTAGCCTAAGGTGTGATGAAATAAAAACGACTATTGTTTCCGTCATGAAATGAGTACAAAGGGTACTTTTGAGAGCTATTTTTCAGGTCCTGTTTCGACCCGAACGTGCAATTTGTGTAAAAGTCGTCGTTGCGGGCAGCAAACAAAACACAGTAAATCGTGACGTAATAATCAGGACTCGTTTATGCTACTCTGCATCGGGAGTCCTGTTTATTACGTCACGATTTACTGTGTTTTGTTTGCTGCCCGCAACAACGACTTTTACACAAATTGCACGTTCGGTTCGAAACAGGCATGACAGGACTTGAAAAACAGCTCTCAAAAGTACCTTTTGTACTCATTTTATGACAGAAACAATAGTCGTTTTTATTTCATCACACCTTAGGCTACATATACCCGAAGAATGACGGAAAAGTCTTCGAGCATTCCACAACTTAACCTTAACTACGTACGGTGTGTGAAAAAAATGAATAAAATTGGAGGATTCAGGTAATAAAATTGAGGATAACAAAGTCATTTGTGTAGTGGCTGCTGGTCATGTCGTTACATGTGCTCTCTAGCTTTGTAAATATTACCATTGAATTCCATTGCTCTGGTCGCCGATTTCTACCATAGCCTGTAACAGTTGAGGGCGTCGCAGCTCACCCGTCGTTGCACAGGTTGTCGGAGCAGCAGGTTTGACAAGTGATAGACAGGGCGTCACAGCGAGGGATACACTCCCCGAGTGGATTGCTGTCAAAGTCAGAGAAGCACATTCTGGTGACGACAGTAGTCCCCATGAAGTTGGTCTTTGTGACCTACGAGGAGAGCAAATGACGGACTAATCTTTACTTTCCATAGCAATAGGGGTGTGTGTTTCACAATAGGTAGTTAAGTGCAAAGAGTTTACATTTCAAACCAGTCTCCAAGGAAAACTGCTGAAGGCGAAATATTTAAGGTTGCAAATTCTAAGTGATTTTATAATAACACTTTTTTCCTCAAGAGTTGGCCTTGGACGTCGCTTTAGATTTTTAGGAGAGAACGGCTTGGGTTTTTCTTCAGCGGGGTTGTCGAGCTAGAACTTAGCAACTTAGGCCTTCATCATCTCAAGATTAAGGCTTAAACAGAAAAGGGGACATCGGCATTTCTTTCAAATTCTTTATGGTAGAAGTTTGTGCGAAACAATTAGGACTAATAACAAGGAACTTGTTAGTATTTGATTAAGAATCTTTATTTTGCAATAATTTATCATCATTGGCTTCAATCGTGAATTGTTTTATTTCAATAAAACTGCTGCACCTTAAGAGTGGATTTCAAGGGTGATGATCTATACATGGAATATTGACGTTGCTCATTATACGTAAATACATTTGTAAATAAAAATAATAACTTGGGTTTATTTACAAACTTACCCCACACTGTCCATCGGCGCATGGTGATTGGTATATCTCCGCACCGTTCGCGTCGAACGGATCGTTACATGCCGGGGAGCTGAAGTTGCTAGCAGAGGGATCCGAACTGTATGCACACAGGTAGCAGTGAAGGATGTCTTCAACTGCGTCCGCAATAGATTTGCTGTTACACAGATCCCCGTCGTCACAGCAGTAACCGCAAAAGGTTCCAAGGTCGGGGGCGGTAACGCAGCCGGGTGTGCAAAGGTCAGCCTCGGTGCAACCTCTCATAAACAGCTCCGTGTCACCAATTAGCATGCTTTGAGCCTGCGGAGAATTAGTAATTGGATAATTAAGAATGTAAAACTAATTATTTTTGTTTTTGTCACGAAGGGCGAAATAATTTTACATGGGAAGACGGTTATGTGATCTTTTTTTTTCGAGTTCGTTTCTGTTTTGATTTCTCTAGCTATCGATCCTGTCCTTAAAAACAATTTATGCAATGTACAGGGTCACCAAACAAAAATGCAACCGTAAAACATTTGCCTTTTAAAAAAAAGTTGGTATCAGCTTAAAGCTATAGTCCATCATTTGCAGCTATCCAAAAAAGTAACTGGCGTATTATTGTTGAAAAACAAACTTGGTTGAAAGATAGTAAGTGGACTAAACTCCCTGTGAAATTAGTCTTTCTGACAAGCTATCATTTTGAAGTAATCAACGAAAGAAGGCTTTTCCAACGTAGCGTCTGAAGACGCACCGTAGGAAAATTTAAATTAGTAGTTCGTTTTGTTGTTCGGCTCAGCGCGCGCAAGCATTGGCACGACGCATGGCGCGCGCGGTTGCTATAATTCGTCGGATCAGTGCGCGACATTGCGTACAGCTGCAATTCAAAACAATTCAAAGCATGATTCAGCAAATTTTGATTTGAAATTGAGATCCTAGAATGCTGTTTTTCTCGGAATATACAGCTGAAGCTGAACTGAAACTTCATCAGGTTAGTTGTTCAATATCCTTCATTAGATTTTGAACACTTTTGTTGCTTCAAACGAACAAAATGCACGAATTACAAATGATGGACTATATCTTTAAAGCTGAGAGCGTTTTCTTTTAAATACTAAAACAAATCATGAAAACGGCATGTAGGGTTGCGAAGAAAAACGACAATTATGTAAAAGTAGTCATTTTTTATCCTGTGCACAATCAAATTACCAAGGTAGGGGATTTTCACTCTACCTATTTGTGCATGTCCTAATCCTTACAACCAACATGGCACATAATATGTCAAGAGTACAAATGAATTTGATGAAAATACCTTTTATTAATCACCTGGACAGGTATCTCATCCTTTGTAGCCCTATTTTTAAACCCTTTCAGCATCATAAATATGTCAAAATACTAAAGAAATTGCAGAAAATGAAGCGTAATTCCACAGTAGGCTTACAGTAAAATGTTTCACTGTTTGAAATACTTTTGTACAGGAATGATGAAAAATAACTACTTTTACAAATTTGGCATTTTCACAGTGACGCAAGGTTATATTTTCTTGATTTTTCAGTATTTGAAAAGAAAAGCGTTTGTTTTTTAAAAGCAAATGATTTAGAGTTGCATTTTTGGGGTTTACCTTTTGCATAAAAATCGTTGTACTGTATAACTGACTTCGGGTCGTGATAAATTAAAAAAGGCTAAAAGATGAGCAGAAACCACATAAAAGACCGTCAGCCGGATGTTTTACAGGATGCTACAACCAGATTCAAATTTAGCAGGATACCAAAATTTAGGAGTTTGGGAGACAACATTATTAACGTGTCAATATTATATGCCTACTTACATTACAGACACTTCCGCTAGGACATGTCATTGTCGTCACGCCGGTAGGGTCAAACGGGTCCTCACAATCGATACAGGAGTAGCAGTCTAAAGCGACACATGGCCCTGAATTAAATTAAAAAAAAAAAACAATGATGTGTCGATAAACACAAATTCCAGCTGAGCCTATTTTAAATATTTTGTCTGTAGACACAAGCGCATTTGGCGCTACATAAAGTGGTTTTGAATTTATTATTGGAAAACAATTTAATACTTCAACTATCATGAGCTTCATGTCTGATTTTAAACTTCCGTTAAAAATTCAATATAGCCTTCTATACTCCGGGATCAATGCACATACCAAGTTTAAAGTTGTCCATATGCCTTCAATTGCTCAAACCATATGTACGACCCACATTTTGCATACAGGGTGTCTCAAAAAATGTCCCTCTGGAATTAAGGCGTACAGAACTTTCGCAAATTATGGTGTAAAAATCAAATTCAATTATTGACGAAAGTTGACAAGCCCCAAAATGTTTCATTCTCGTGTGAAGTTCTTGGACTCGGTTCAGTGGTTTTGAAACAAAGGCCACTAATGTAACATCATCCATTTTTCTCCATTCCAAATTTGACAATACATGCATGTACGTAGCGAGCATACACAATGCGTTTTTTTTCTGTTTTCTGAGGCCCGTCCCTGCCTGAATGTCCTGAATCGTTTTGAAATGTTATAGCAGGTGTTTGAGACACTCCTTTGTTATGATTAAATAAGATATTATGTACATAGCATATAGCTACAGTCAACAATGACAGATGTTAAGTATCCCTCCTGTTTGGTTAAGTAATTTTGTCAAAAAGCCAACTTAGGCGTTCATGTTGTTTCAACATTGACGAAGAGGCCTAGCTATCATGATTTCATATTTTCACCATCGGTAAACGACATCGTAAATTCGATATTCAAGTAAAAGTACGTTTAGTTCAATATTCGGGTTTAACGATGCTTCAACGTAAATTCAACGAATGTTGCCTGATATAGTTCTCCACAAAAAGACACTGTAGAACTCATCTAAAAATTCATTAAAAATCCATACCTACCTATACCAGAGACAAACAGCATACAGGCGAATAGCAGCAACGACGAACCAGGTGCCTTCATCTTCGATATTTTCAATTTCCCTTCGAAATATTCTGGCTTGCAGTTGCTACGCTGTCGGTATTCCTACTTCGAAATTTCTTCCGAAACTACAACAACTTTCACTTTCAAGTTTCAGCAGCTTATTTTGAAATTGAACGCTGTCTGACTGACTCTCCCCAACCGTGCAGTTGGCACCAATGGGAAATTAGTGAGTCCAGACTGTCGGTTTTATACCAAAAGGGTTTCCCCTTTTCTAATAATAAAAACATGAGCAGGGTGGAATGGATTTTTCTGGAAACTTTGCCTTGCGCACGATGAATCGTACCCCGCGCCGCGCCCTATCTCGACTGGTTCCCGGTATTACCGCTCTTGCTGCGAATTATTATGATAGGCGGGGACCAGTGTAGCTTAGGACCTCTCACGTCTTTAACCTTTCACACTGGTGCATTGTTTGTTTCGCAGATAACCCCTGGGGTAACCTTTCTTACCTCCTGGAGAGTACCCATAGCCATATCAGTGTCAAGAGACTCCCTACACAGATTAACTCTAACCCCTTGAACACTTTTACTAGAGAGTATATCCTGAACATGCCAAAATCCACCTATGCATAAATATTTGGTGTTGGTGACTGCTCAGTATGGAGGAATCCGGAACCCATCAAAATCCAGTAGTACCGCTAGGCTAACAATTACCCTGAATCCATCAAAATCCCCTGTTTCCAATATGAATTGGTATCCTGAATCAGCCAAAATACTCGAAACTGGGTATAGATTTTGATGGATTCAGGGTGGTTAGGGTTTTATTGAGCATGGGTACGTAAGTTAAGGCACAAGAGGCGGACGCAGTTGTCCATGCTAGATATTCGGTTTTCGGGTCCATACGGTCGGGTCGGTCTAAGGGAGTTCAGATGTGTTTCGGTTCGGATTCGGTTGATATCAATAACGTTTCGGGTCTGCGCGTCACTACAACAGAAAACGCATTATTAAGGCCAAAACAAAAAAAGTCTCCGGTTTCTGGTATGCGCGCGCGTCGCCGTAGCCATGCGCGTCAGCAAAATGAAAAAGTTGTTTTTTTCAATAGAAGATGATGTCTCAAAACCGCCAAACTCACTGGTTTGACTGGAATTCTGCTGCTGCACAATTTTAACTTGTTTTCAGATGGGGTTATGATCAACAATAAGCTTAATGTGGCCTCTCTGGACTCCCATATATTTGCACTAAGTTTAGTCGGGCACCATTTGCAGTCATCAGCCGACATTTGAAGCCAAAAAAAAAAAACCACGTAAAAAAAAAAAAAGCCGCGTCGCCGCACCACTTTTGGGGCAAGCTCCATACCAGAAACCGGAGAGTTTTTTTTGTTGGCCTAATGTATTGATAAGTTTAAAGGTGGTACAATGAGGCGTGTTCACGCGGGCCCTTATACATAGAATCATACGACGCACCACCATAGCTCGAGACACACTTTATTGGTTCGATATATAATGGGGAAAAAACACTAAGAACTGATGAAAACCAACAGTTTCCGAAGAAAATTGATACTTAGCTTAATTGAAGTAGATTTTAAAAACACGTCTTATTTCCAATAAGCAAATCTTATTTCAAATAAAATAAAATTGGGAGGAAGAATTTACGGAGTTCGCTATACACGGGCGGTATGCGCCAAGCTCGGCTGCTTTCAGGGTGACCGTAAGGTCATGGCCAAATTCTGCTAAATGAAACTCAAAAATCTGTTAGATTCATCAAAATTAATATCTGCCAAATCCCCAAAACCACAAAACAGCAAAAGAAAAATGTTCTAATGACATAATGAAATTCACGAGAGAAAAAAAAATAATAAAAAAAAACCCACACACCCAATTCTGCTACTAAACGCACTTTGAACGAAATGATGTTAATCGGAAAGAAATTTCAAAGTAGGATATTTATCGCCCACACAGCTATCCTTAAAACTGGGCGTCTTAGTTCTTCTTGTGTTTTTTTGTGCAAGGACGATTTTGGGGATCCACTTTTGCGACCCCCGAAAATCGGGCTGTTAATGCTGGTTGGGATTGCAGCCCAAGATGAACATCTTGGGATTGCAGCCATAAGATGAACATCTCATGGCTGCAATCCAAACTATCAATGAACAGCCTGCTTTCGCGGATGCGGACGTATAAGAAACCACATTTTGTGGAATTATGGTGTTATTTGATGTGACACACGTGTACCGTACATGGAATAAAGTATAACACAACAGGAGAAAAAGCGTATAATGTTGTTTTCGATGTTAACAAACGAGGTTAAGTATGGTTTTTTCTGGGATTTTTTTTTATTTTCTCGGGTATGGTAAGAAATTAGGTTGGTTTCCTTTCAACTAGATGTTTCAAATATCATAAATCAATAATCCAAAATTTTGTTTTACAAAACATGACATTTTTCGAGGATTTCAGGCCGTAGTTCCCCTTTAGATATAACCGTGTAAGACATTAGGTTGTTTTCTTTCCAACCCGATGTTAGGATAACTAAACAGGTTAAAACGTGACAGTGTCGGTGATATTAGGCCCTACTGGCCCTTGAAGCATTATAGGCGCCGCAAGTCCCCCGTTGCACAGGTTGTCAGAGCAGCAGGTTCGACAGGTGATAGACCAGGGGTCACACCCAGGGGTGCACCCCCCGGGTTGAGGGCTGCCACTGCCAGAGTCCGGGAAGCACATCCTGGTGACCTCAGTCATTCCCATTAAGTTGGTCGATATGACCTACGCGAGGAGAGAAAAAATAGCCCTTAATTCAACCTCGTCCCCAGTGCTTACTTTATTTCCAACCGCGTTTCCAATAGTAAACCCTGGATAGGAAACTTTCTTCCTGTATCCTGATTGGTTACCGCAATTGGCTAGTAATGGTTTTTATCGTGTACTTGGTGCTATATATTCACAACGTGCAGTACGTGTTTTCGCGATCATTCGTCCACGACTTCTCGAAAATACTAATTTCCTTTCCAATTTGCTCATATTAATATGAAATATGATACTGCATGTTGTCTCGATAAGATCGTAACAGTTTGATTTCAAAAATCGTGTTTTCGTAACTCACGCCGTGCTCGCGCTGCTACGAATTGACTCTGTTTTTACCCCAGACACCGCATACAAAAACAAACGCTAATGTGTAACGCATATCCAGGCACCAGACTGTTCCTCATTTGCATACGTGTGCAAAAATCTTGCACATGCAAATGATCCAATACCAGGGTGAGAGAGCAGGTAGTGGTGGGCGCGTACTGCTCGACACCCTGGGGACGAGGTTGCCCTTAATTGATCCTTTAGATAATAGCTATCTCTGTAGGAGAATTGCGTATTTTACGCGATCAATTCGGCGTTGCGCAACGTGGAGAATGTTCCAAACACGCGCGCTAGCTGCTCGAAATGTGTTCGAAATACGGCGCAGCCGTTCGATGCGCTTTCAGCCTCGGCCCCATGGGCGCTTGCGCGTTCCTTCAGACGGGCTAAGATCGCGCAAGACATGATGGGAAACAACATGGCGCAGCAAGATCGTACCCATGGAAACGAGGTTGATGCGCTTTATGCAAGTTGACGCTCAAATTGCTCGTGCGTGCACGTGGTTGGTCTGTAGGAAAACGCGTCATTTTAAAGATGGCGTTTTCAATCCGGCGTCCCATTCACCGATAAGGTTTGAGTTTCGTAAAGAATTTCCTTAGAGAGTGCCAGACTGATAACAATAAACGTTGTGATGAAGTGATCAGAATAGATTAAGTTAAATTAAGTAATAATAAATAAATGATAAAGAAACAGTTCTTTGGATTAACCTTTCAAAAGTCGTCAGGGGCTATGTTCCAGTACTCTGTGTATGTAGTCCTACAGTGAGCTTGTGATTGGACTGTTTTAAGGTTACAAAAGAGGGCGCTATTATCGCAACAGTTTGGCATAGCTGCACTGCTGCAAAGCGACTTCCATAAACCTCAATGATAATTACGCGTGCTTTTGAAAATTACTTCTTCTCTTTAAAAACAACAGTCCCAAATAACTTTTGGGAGACAAATCCAAAAATTTGGCAGTACAACATAATATCAGTGTTTCTTTGGAACAAGTTTGTGAGAAACACTTAAACTTATTTTAAGGTGATTTAGAGAATTTGAAAGAGGACCGTTTTGTTTTGCGAATTTTCATCATACGCTTCAATCGCCATTGTTGTATTTCAATAGAACTGCTTTACCTTAAGGGTATATCTGTGCACGTAGTGATGACGTTGCTCATTATAAATTTTGTAATTAAAACTAAAAAAAAAAAAGTTTTGTTTTCATGTATTTTCAAACTCACCGCGCACTTTCCATTGACACAGGGGTATTGCCACACGCCGGCATCCCTAGGGTTGAACGGATCGTTACACCCTGAGGAGCTGGAGTCATCAACCGAGCTGTACGAACAAACGTAGCAGTGGAGAATGCCTTTAAGCGCCTCTAGTATAGGTTGGTTGTTGCACAGATCCCCGTCACAGCAGTAACTGCATAGTCCCTGTTGATTGGAGACCATGCAGCCGGGTGTGCAATGCTCAGCCTTGGTGCAGCCTCTAGTAAATAGCTCAGTGCCACCAACTCCCATGTTTTGAGCCTACGAAAGGATTTTGTAATCTAAGATTATGTACGTGAAATGATTGCTGCAGGGATTTCTATTCACTATAGTCCTTAAATTTAGTTTGGAAATGAAAATGTATGTACTTCTTTTAATTACAAACTTCAGACATTCTAGGGTTTAAAAATGGCTAAAAAGGTACTGTTATAGCCGCAGCTTTTTTTTTCAACAAAAAAACACAATCGGGCGATTCACAATGTAGTGCGCCACCAAGAGTTTGTCACGGCGAGTTCATTTTTCGCAGTGCATTGTGGAATATGGTCGACAAATTTGCAGCGCGCTGCGGGACGTTTGAAATGTTCCGTTTGTCCGGTCAAAAGTTTCGCGTGATTTGAGTATATGTTTGCCCTTTTCTTTTATTTTCGCCAATGTAGTGTTTTTGTAAGGCAGTGATCATGATCAGAATATGCTGCGATGTCGTCCCGAAAATTACGACTCTGAAACGACTTCCAACCGAATATTACGACTTCGCTGCAAATTGGATCCGTTCAATCGATTTTTTTTCCAAGACGGGGATGTAAAGTGCAACCGAAAAAATGGACTCTCCCTGGCATACTCTGAGTGGCGCAGTGCATTGGATCGCCCGAATTATCAGGATACAATATTGGATATGGGGTTGAACGGTTCACAAGACAACAAATACGTGTGAACATATGCCAACTTACTTGGCAGACGCTGCCGCTAGGACATGTCATTATCGTCGCCTTGGACGGGTTAAACGGA